TGTTGTCTACAACAAAAATAAAGTTTGTCTATAACAGTGTCATGTTTGTCTATTTATGGAAGGAAACATGGAACCAATCAGATGGAAGAAAGAGGGAGAGCAACGACCAACGAGAGAGAAAGAGAGATTCTAAAGCATAAAAATTGGGTCGTGGAAAAATTGATGTGTACAACAAAAAATTTGCTGTAACTTTTAAATGAGAGTCAAAACATCCCCCAATTTTAACGCGCTTTTTCTTAAAATAGTTAAAGCGCTTTTCTTAGAAAATTTAATAACAATATTGGGAAAAGTGTAAAAGCCAAAACAAAAAGATCCCTCAAGTTTGGCTAACTGGCAAAATAAAACCCCCAACAATGTAGGTCAACGTTAACAGTGTAATGTTTGTCTATATATATCTTCTTCTCTTCACTATTTTAAACCCAAAAATCTCCCAACTCGAACACAAATTAACCTTAGATCCCCCAAAAGAATCCCCCAACTCCAGTGAATCCACCTTCGAAGCAGAAGTCCATAGTGATAATCTGAGTTAACTTTGGTCTGAGTTTTTATTGGATTTACTGGTTTAAGATCTTTCTGTACGTAGATTATGAAAGAAGTGGAACCTTTTCACAAGCTCTTCACATTCGCCGACGGTAAAGATGTTGTTTTGATGGCCGCCGGGACAATCTCTGCGGTGGCCAACGGCATGACTCAGCCGATCCTCATTTTGTTGTTCAGCGAGCTCATCAACGCCTTTGGCTCGGCCAATCAAGATCAAATGCTTAAAACTGTCTCTAAGGTTTGGATTTTTCTCTATCGATTCCATCACACCATATACGCATTTTATTGTTATTTGCATGGATTTTTTTTTAGTTATATTTTTATGATGTTTTCATTCTTTTCCTTTTCCATTTCGATTTCCGTCACTTCATATATTTGTCTTCAATATATAAATTTTTTTTTTTGGCTAAATATAGTTTAGGTAATACAAAAAAGCATTGACCTATAGCAAAGTAACCTTGGCAAACAATATAAAACAAGATTACAACAGATTTCGTTGAGATTTCGTGTTGCTTATGGGAGCCATAGAAGCATCAGGAAATTGTGTTACGAACCTCCCGATCAATCTTCTTGAAGATACTTGCTGTTTTTCTACCTTTCCATTTTAATCGTATCATTTATTTCTATTCCGTCTACAATTAGTTTTACTTGTTCTTTATCATTTTTTTGTTGTTGCTAAATTGTTCTTTATCACTTTCACGCTTGGTTTCACGTGTCTTCCTGAGTACTTTTTTTTTTGGTAAATTAAAGAGTATTAAATCAATCAAAACGATTGTTGATACAAAAAATGCCAACTTAGAACCAATTAACTAGGCAAATATTCTTACATATGCTATGTTGCTCTACTTAATGCTTAAAAAAAATGCCTAAAGATTCCTTTTTATAGTGTTCATTAATTAATTTGTTAAGGGTTAATTTGCTCAATAGCAAAAAATTATTAGTAATTAGGTAACTAATAAAAATTGGTGTATGTGGTCTAATCATATCCATTACATACATTTAGGGTTTAGGGTTGAATTTTGAAATATATATTTTTTTGGGTTATTCAACCCATTTTCCCATTTGTTAATTCGTTACATCGTCTCAGGTTGCTACGAAGATTCTGTACCTTGCGGTATACGCTTGTGTTGCCTCCTTCCTACGTAAGTCCACACTATCTTGTTCTGAATATATGATATAATTGGAATGAAAAATAAATTGCTGCTTGTTTGTTGGAATAGTAACTGTACCCACATAAAAATTAGAAAGAAAAAAATAGTATGCCATGAACAATAAAATATCAACTGTGACATTATCAAAAATACAAACCAATAAAGACGTATAACACTTAGACTTATGTTATTGAGACATTTACAAAAAGTCACAAAATGCCTTTACAATTACAAATAAGTCACAAAGCACATTTTACATACAAATAAGTTATTTGTGAGAAAATCGGACGAAAATACCTTTCATTTTCGTCTGCTGCCATCGCATTTAATGCTCTGCATTAAGTAAGTAATCAATAACACATAACACTTATACAAACCAAGTAATCGATTCATTTAGGTAAGACCTAGAGTTGGAAAAACATAATTACGTCAAATTAAAGAAATTTTACTGGATTAGTCGTTAAGCAGAGTAAACTCAGTGATTTGGTTTGGTGAACGCTTGAGTAGCTACTCGTGATCGTGGGTGATGAAATTGCGACTCATACGAACTTCTTCGTCTAAACGTTAGACTCATATGAATTTACAAGCTCAACCTAAATTAATGGAATTATACTGCATCAACTCAGACATGCCTTGATTTGTTACCATGAATTTCTAGTCAAAATTGATTCATAAGATCAAGTTAACTCGTGGTCCAAGTTAACAGATCATTTTGGTTCGTATGCAGAGGTCTCATGCTGGATGGTGACTGGGGAGCGTCAATCTGCAAGAATTCGCACCCTATACTTGAAGACTATACTGAGACAAGACATTGGCTTCTTCGATACCGAGACAAATACAGGAGAAGTCATCGGAAGAATGTCTGGAGACACCATTCTGATTCAAGACGCCATGGGAGAAAAGGTTTTGAATATTATAACCTTGTTGTTTTGTTTTCCAGAACAGTAACCGGATTTGCTTGTAAAACAAGGTACTGAAAAGAAAAGCAATATAATGGTTTGGATTTTGCAGGTTGGAAAATTCATACAGCTGGTAGCAACATTCTTGGGTGGATTTGCGATTGCGTTTATAAAGGGCTGGCGACTCACTGTGGTTCTTCTGGCGTGCATCCCTGTGATGGTGGTTGCAGGTGGAGCAATGGCTTTGATCATGAGCAAAGTGGCTGGCCATGTACAAGTAGCTTACGGGGAAGCTGGAAACGTTGTAGAACAAGCTGTTGGGGGCATTAGAACAGTAGGTTATCTCGCCCTTTGTGTTTAATATATTTTCACGGCTAAATTGGGAATGTTTTATGCTTCCATGTTTTTTTTTTATTGTTTTTCTTGGCATGAGACCATTTAGATAGGTTCAACTAATGGTAAAACATTTTGTAAAACCTAAACATTTCATTTTACAATGAATATTTACATTCTTATCAAAAATAAAAATAAAGAGACTTGTTTTCAGGTGGTAGCCTTCACGGGAGAGAAGCAAGCGATCGAAAAATACGAGAGGAAGCTCGAGATTGCCTACAAGACCACGGTTAAGGAGGGGCTGATCTCGGGTTTAGGCTACGGGGTGATGCTAGTCGTGATCTTCTGCAGCTACGGTTTTGCAATTTGGTACGGTGCCCAGCTTATAATCAAGAAAGGATACAATCCCGGCCAAGTGATGAACGTGATTTTCTCGGTCGTGACGGGGGGAATGTGAGAATACAGTAATCAC